GTTTTTTTTTTTTTTTGCGGGCTTAGGGAGATAGTTCACAAGACTGTAGTAAGGACGTTGGCCATGTTATGAAACCAAAGGCTACGGCTCGTGTTGCAGAGTGCGGGTGGTTCCGGAACCGCACTGTTTTGGCCTAAGCGCGCTTGCGCTAACAGGAGCAGCTCAAGATATTTCAGAGCAAATAGCGTTCATAGGTTCAAGTACTTCGGGTTCAGGGTTACCGGGCAAGGGCCGATTTTGGAGCCATGAAGGGCCAACTTGATGGATGTTGGGTCGTGTTTCCTGAAGGCCTCTAGCCCCACAAAGGAAAGCGTCTTGAGGGTATGACCGGCCCCTTAGCGCATGGGTTACGCATGAGGGCTTGGAAGTATGGGCTCACGGTCGACCATTTGCAGTATGCACTATTAGGCTTCGTGATCTGCAAGACAGATAGAGAACATCGCAACCTTGCTTTGTTCTGAATCTTCATCAAGCTGGCCTGGTTGGGACCCGTTGAAAAAGGGCAGGAGGGCTGAGGTTCAATTCTGAAACGCTGATCATGAGAAGAACGACTCAGAGTCTGTATAACTACTATTGCTGCTGCTACTGCTGCTTCCACTACTGCTGCTGCTACTATTACTACCACTACTACTCCTCCTCTTGCTGCTACTGCTACTACTAATTATAACATTGCGATTGTTAATTCTATCACTCCTACTGCTGCTATACTACTGCTGCTGTTGCCGCTGCCGCTACCACTGCCGCTAATGGTGAGGAGCGCCGGAGCTTTTATCGTGAGATCTTGACACCGCATGTCTCATGGTTTTAAGTGCATGCGCGACATCAGGGACTGTGGGCCCACTGCCACAAACCCGAATAGGCAGTTGGCAAACACCAGCAGCGGCTTGTGTTTTCAGATGTTCAAACGTTAAACTTCACTTTGGGCATCTTAGCCTTGAGAAGTCAAGGTTGCAGACTTGGGCTTGACAATTTCCAATGTTCGGCTTATGGTTCTGCAGCAAAAATGGCTGCTCCAAAGTCTAGCCATCACAACCCTTCAACCCCCCAAACCCTAAGACTTGGGGCCCTAACCCTAAACCCTCAAGCCTAGGGCCCTAACCCTAATCCCTTCAACCCCCCCAAACCCTAAGATTGGCAGAGGCCTCAGTGCTATGCGCATTTTCCTCCGGAGCCGTGGGAACCCGGACAGCCGGAAGGAGGCTCCCAGGGCCAGAAACTTTAGTGTTTAGGGTTTAGGGTTCAGGGTTTAGTGTTCCCAAGGAGGTTACAGGTTGAGGGTTCAGGGTTATGGGTGTTTGGGTTTTTTTGGGCGCTGGGACTTCGGGGTCTGGGGTGCAGCCTAGTGGAATTCAACAACTTGTCAAGGGTGTTTTTGGAAGGTTTCGTTGCAAGAGCTGTATTTTTGAGAAGGAGTATTCGATAGTTGAGGTTCTTTTCCATTCTCGGTCAAAAGCACTAAACCCTAAATCCTTCATCCCCTACTATCCACCAAGCCCAACATCTTGAACTAGGGAATATACGAGTATCATGTAGGGTATAATCCCTAATTGAAGGATTTTGGGCTTTCTGGGTAACAATCAGCGAGTGAATCCCTAGACCCTCAACCCTACACACTAGCCCTAAACCCGAAACCCTAAACTCCCCCCTAAGCTTCCAGGTCATCATCAGTCCAAAGATGGTCAAAGACATGGCGGCACAGCTTGGAAGCCAGGCTTAGAATAGTCTAGCCCTACCTAGAGTAACCAATGTACCTATACAGCAGGGACATGTACCTGATACGTTGGTATCTTTACTTGTTTGGGGGTCTAGGTTCTTCTAAGTATGCAAAATCCCTCCACCTCGCTGATATTACATATACCCATTGCGGCTTGGAAAAATAAACTGGTGGGAGCCCGGGGTGGGTTTATATCAGAAACATGGCACTTTCTTAAGGGTCCCCTTAAATGCGGCGTCTCAAGGGTTCCGTGTGATAATAACGAGAAACAACAGTCGTTTGAGGCTAGATTTTTGTCGAGGTCGTCAACATTCATCTGCTGCATGGCTTTTTCTTTCTGACCGGCTCGGCCGTCGATAATGTCTTGCTGTCATTTGCACGGTAAGCCCCAAACCCCAGACTTTGAACCCTACACCCTAAGCCCTAAAGACCAAGAAATATTACTCCTGTCTCGTAGCTTGCAGAACAGCTCAGGAATTCAGAAAAGCCCAGGACACTACTGGTACTGTGCCCTGGCATGCTTTGGAGCTGCTTGCTTTAGCAAGCTGGCACACAAGCTCCCATGTTTGAAGGTCTGAACTTCAGATATGAGCTATAGTCTAAACTGGCATTATAGGAGTTGTTAAACGGGATACTAGGAGTTTAGACTATAGCTCATTTATTCCTCTTCGTGTTACTATTGTTCTTCCTAGTATCGGTGTTATTACAGCAGCATTACAACTGTTATTGTTGCTGTTAGTACTGTTATTACTGTTATCATTGTTATTACCATTGAAATTAATACTAGTGCCTTTATGCTATTATTAGTAGTATTGCTATTGCTATGAGTACTATGATTACTGTTACTACTGTTGCTTTTACTATTACGGTTACAATTGCTATTACTCTTACTCTGCTATTACTATTACTGATTACCACTACTATTCATATTGTTATTGCTACCATTAGTATTGATACTACTCTCCGTACTAGTATGACTATTGCTACTATGCATTCGGACGTCAGTCTGTACCCGAGCTCAGTAATATGAAGCATGAACAATTTCCGGGGCCGCACCCAAGATGTTCGACGGCCAGATCTCATTTTTGTTTGTAACTCTGAACTTAAAGGGTTGGAGTTTCGGACGTTGAGGGTTCGGCTTAGGGTCTGTAACTTTAAGCTCTTTAAAGTCTAGAGTTTAGAGCTTTTAGGGTTGAGGGTCTGTTGTTGGCGGTACGGTTGTGGGACACCCTGTGTGGCCGTTGGGATGCAGAAGGGAGCTGGCAAGTTCCAAGCCGAAGCTGCTGTAGCCTTGGGTACTGCCCCCACCCAGTAACCGTTAGATAATACTTCCTGTATACTTGTATATATATATATATAAGTTTAGGGTTCAGGGTTTAGGGTGTATGTATATATATATATATCCCACACTAACCCGAACACAGACTGCTACTGGGTGGGGGCAGTAACCAAATTTTAGCTTCTGAAATTACAGGCTGATGGCTGAAAGCTCTAAAGCCCTAACCCTGAAGCCTACTACACCGGCCTAAACAACTACCGACATTGTGGTCCTAGATTCCTTGTACAAATCTGGTATCAAATGGACCTCAACATGATCTTGGTGGTTATTTAGGCCCCTACCATACGCACTCTTGAACCCATAATCGCCGCAATCCCATCAATCAACCTCGTATCCCTATAAAAGCCCCTGAACCCTAAACCCCTCTACATCATCCCTATACACCATATGAGCCATAGTCTAACCTGCTTAAGTTAAAGGCAGGGCTGTGTAAGGGCTCATATAAGAGATTGCTGCAGGAGTTATTCAGGGGGATACTAGGAGTTCAGACTATGGCTCCTATAAGCCCCTGAACCCTAAACTCTAGTTCATTCCTATACAGCTCACCACATGCCTCTATAATCCCAGGGTCTTACGGGATTATATGGGGTACTCCTATAGGGGTTTTTAAGGGGGATGCTAGGAGTTAAACTATAGCTCATATGCCTCTATAATCCCATGAGCATTCCGGCCTAGGCATGTTTGCCTTGCGGTATCCACTTGCCCCAGAGTGGGAAGCCGTAGTTCGAGAGACTTGGGCCTCCTTTTTGGGGTTTAGGGTTTAGGGTTTAGGGTTAGGGTTTAGGGTTTGGGGTTTGGGATTTAGGGCTTAGGGGCCCCAAAAGAGACCGCAAAGCTCCAAAGCTAAAGGCTTAGGGTCCGGTCTAGGATTGAGGGTTGTTGGATTTAGGTTGTCCCCCACCCACTCTTAATTCAAAATCGCGCGGAAACAGCACAAGTATAGTGGCAGCTTTTACCTCGCCCCCCTAAACTCTAGACCCTAAGTCATTTTGGGTTCCTATCTGCCATGGTGAGATTTTTCTTTCTCTAAAATTTAAGAAGAGGTGGAGGCCGAACCCCTAGTCGCTTTGAAGTGAGGGAATGAGGCTTGATAGCTAAGCCCCATAGGCCCTAAAGTTTAGGGTTTATGGTTTAGATGGTTTGGGGTTTAGGGTTTAGGGGTTAGGGGTTTAGGGTTTAGGCGTTCAGGGTTTAGGGTTTAGGCCTAAACCCTAAACGCCTAACCCTAAACCGTGCTCAACGTTCAGGGTGCAGCATGGAGACTTTTGGGGATCTTGAAAGGGAACGCAGGGGACCGTTGCGTGACCTTATACATATGTAATTGCATATACACACATACATACGTACATGCATATGTACATATACCTACACTTGTGTATCTGTGTGTGGCTAAAGCATCTAGATGTAGAATGAAGAAGGAGGCGGTTGACCAGCAGCTTTGATGGATGGCCGAAGTCACATCATGGAAAATGGGCCTTATAGAGTGTGCTGCGTACTAACGACCAGCAAGCTCACCTCGAACCTAAATCCTTTACATCCCTATACCCCCC